GGCCTGCTGTGTTCATCCCGCTCTACACCTTGTTATCCTCCCTAACCCAAGTCCATCTGACCTCTTGCTGCCTTCTATTCTAAAGCCTACATCAAAAATCATTCATTAATCCTTCATCTCACTGATGATTGTTTGCCATCTAGACCTTAAGACATTGTATTCGCTCCCACCTCTTTACACCTCCTGCAATAAAACCTTTCTCAAAACCAACATTTTTGTCTGCTCCAACATCTTTTCTCAGGATAGAGTTTTGTCTGATAATGCACCTGCGAAGCACATTGGGTATATTTTCCCAGATTAATGACACTATACAAATGTAAGTGGTTGTTGAAAGGAATAGGAAGCAATTCAATATTTTGGAATTGTGTGTTAATAAACTTCTGTGATACGACACAATAAAATCATATGGAGCCTGATTGCATCCTGCAAGGTTCAAACAACATGACAAAAACCTTTCCAGAAGGAGGGCTGTGTATTGAAGATTCCTTGAAAAAGTTGTAAAGTCAAACTAGTCACGAATGGCTTTGAGCATCATAATAAATTATACAGAAAAAATGCTGTTATTTTTATCAAGCCACTGGCACGGACAAAACTCTTGCCAAATATGTTTCCCTAGAAGATTGGGCAACACTTCAAATTGACTTAATTGCTTATAAACACTTTAGGAAACCCTGAGGTGTGAAAGGTGCAACATAGTTGGGGGCAGCATGGTGGCTCAGTGGTTAGCACTGCTGCCTCACAGCTCTAGGGGCCTGGGTTCGATTCCACCCTCAGGCAACTGTCTGTGTGGAGTTTGCACATTTTCCCCGTGTCTGCGTGGGTTTCCTCCCACTGTCCGAAGATGTGCAGGTTAGGAGGATTGGCCATGCTAAATTGCCCAAAAAGTGTTCAGGGATGTGTAGATTAGGTGGGTTACAGGGGGATGGGTCTGGGTGGAATGCTGTGACAGTCGGTGTGGACTTGTTGGGCCGAAGGGCCTGTTTCCACACTGTAGGGTGTCTAAGTCAAGTCATAGTTGCAAGTTTTTCTCTCATTTGGCATGAAAACCCAGGAGGATGGGAAGGTTGGGATCATAAAGCTTCATCTCCCAAAAATGTCTTTATTATTAGTTTGTAAGAAAACACATTTATAAAACATAGTCTATTCCAGTCATTTACAGAGACAAGAGTAGGATCACAGACAAAGACAATATATAATCAGGGACAGCAACAGGTGAGAAGTTATGACACAAAGAACGTTTCAGAATTTATTAAAAAAAACAAGAGAAAAGCAGACATACAAAGCAATGCTTTGGCCTACAACCACACGCTCATTTTCCATTATTATGTTAAAAAATAAAATCTCTCATTTCAGGCCTGATCTCTATCCATCAGCATGAAACAGAAGCACTATTTCTTAATGTTCTTTGAAGTAAGGACAGAATAAATTCACAGTGGCAAGTTCAAGTATTGCAGCTGTAAGTAGCATAGTTTGTATTTCTGCTGTTTGAGGTGGAACAATGACATGCAGTAGGTGAACTGAATTGTCACAGACACCTATCACCTTCTCGTCTTTCTGTAGCACTGTGACTGAGGGATAGTTTGATAGGTAACCCTCACCTCATCTGGTGGATTCTTGACCTTCTGCATGTATCTTCGCACCACGTCCTCTGGGGATTTTACTGTCAGGAAAAAAAAGAGATCACAAATGCTTAAATATCTCACACCAGGAATCCCTCATTCCAGCAGCTGTATGTAGGTAAGCCTACTTTTATTAGTCGAATTCTGCAAAGGCATCACAAGAATGATGATAAAAGGTTGGTTATACCTTAAACTATTTTGCAAGGAGTGCCACAGCCTTGTAAACACTGTAGAAGTGTGTCTGCACATAGTGACCTGGTTTGTGGTTGGTAATGACCACAGAATCCAATAAATAAAGGTCATACTTCAAAGAGTTCAACAGTTCTTTTTCACCATTGCATATCCTCCAGCATAATCTGTATTCCAGATTGAGAGAAGGCATTTTGGAAGTAAGTCTTTTCTTTTGGTCTCAATTTTGTAGTTTATTCCAATCAATGGCCAATGAGGAAGGTTCCGTTCATTGCTCTGCAGTCTAAATGCTACAGATGGGAATTGATAAAGGAATACTTCAACCTAAAACATAGCTTTCAAGAGGTAAACAGAAATCCACCACTGATCATTAACTGCAGATGGTATGGCACATCATGTAAGAGACTGTGTGTTTTGGAAATGTGTGGCAAAGAAACTTGGTTCTTTTCTGCCCTGCTCTTTTTGTGCCTTTTCTTTCCCTTCATGTTCCTGGGCATGAAGGCACAGTGATACAGGGAGCATGAAACTTTAAGTAATCAGTAAAATAAAATCGAGGGGGCCCTGTGGCACAGCTGTAGTGTCCCCACCGCTGAGAGAGAAATCCTGTGTACAAGTCCCACTGCTTCAAAGGTGTGTCGGAACATCTCTGAACAGGTTGGTTTTGTCTTAAACTTATCTGATGTCTGACCTTCCAAAGCCCTCTGGGGTGGAGAATTCCAAACAGTCCGAGTCTTTTCTTCAATCATGGGATGCAGACATTGCTGGCTGGGCAGCATTTATTGCTTGTCCCTTGCCCTTGACAAGGTGGTGGTGAGATGCCTTCCAGAACCACTACAGTGCACATGCTATGGGTTCTCCCACAATGCCCTTGGGGAGGGAATTCCAGATTTTGACCCAGCGACAGTGAAGGAACAGCGACATACTTCCAAGTCAGGATGGTGAGTCGCGTAGAGGGAAATTTGCAGGTTGTGGTAATTCCATGTATGTCCTGCCCTTCTCCTTCTGTGGTAGTGGTGCTGTGTTTGGAAGGAACTGTCTAAGGATCTTTAGTGAATTTCTGCAGCGCATCTTGTAGATAGTACACACTGCTGCTACTGAGTGTCAGTGCTGGACGGAGAGAATGCTTGTGGATGTGGTGCCAATCAAGTGGGCTGCTTTGTCCTAAATGGTGTCAAGCTTCTTGAGTGTTGTTGGGGCTGCACTTATCCAGGCAAGTGGGGGTTATTCCATCACACTCCTGACTTGTGCCTTGTAGATGGGGGACAGGCTTTGGGGAGTCAGGAGGTGAATTACTTGCCACAGTATTCCTAGCCTCTGACCTGCTCTTGTAGCCACTGTGTTTACGTGGCAAGTTCAGTTGAGTTTCTGTTCAGTAGTAACCCCAAGGAAGTTGACAGTGGGGGATTCTGTGAATTAACACCATTGAATGTCACCGGGTGGTGATTAGATTGTCATTTATTGGAAATGATCATTGCCTGACATTTGTGTGACACAAATGTTACTTTAAGTAGTAAAGATGCTTCTCTTCATCCGTCGAAAATGGCTTGCCTATTATTTGCGTTGCCTGGTTTTAGACGCTCAGCTAAGGGAAATATCCTTTCTACGTCTACTCTGCCTAGCCCTTTAAAAATTTTGTGGGTTTTTGCTACTTGGCAGCTCCAACAATTTGCTCAATACCACTATCCCTAGTGATTGCAATTAACTCAAGTTCTTTCTACCCATCTATAAGCTGATTAACAGCGACTTCTGGGTTGTTAACTGGTTCTCTAGCGTGAAGAGCATTGGAATATTCCCCAATTGCCTGAATAGAACTATCTCAGCAAAATGACACCACCCAGGATAAAGCAGTTTGGTGGCCCTGCTACTGAATTCAATAGCCACCCCTACAGTGCCACCACTTGATACAACGGCACCTTATATTCTTTAGGGTACACTATCCTAACTCATCAAACTTGTCTCAGTCTGTGACCTCTATCACTGAGTAAGTCTAGTGACTCCATTATGGGATCAATCCACCACTTTCATGTTCCGCTCCACTTCATATTGCAATTTGACTTGGCCACATCACTTCATCATTGCTGGGTCAGAATCCTGGAATTCCCTATCTAATAACACATGACAGCATGAGAGAACAGAGAGGCTTCAGCAATTAAGGGGGGGCTAGACATCACTGCAAGGCAACTAAAGATGAGCAATAAATGTGGCCTGGCCAGCGACACCCGAATTCCAAACACAAATGTGCAAAAAACTTTACATTAAATACAAAGGATAGTGTAACGTAATTTAACAAGCAACAGCTCATAATTTGGCAGGGAGTCAAGCAGATCTGTTCCAGAGGTGTGTCATATCTGTCAGTAGCTAGGTATGTCCTTGCCCATTTTAGATCTTTAAACATTTTGTATGAAAAGTTGCTGAAAGAGTGAGCTGATACTGTTGCAGCAAGAGCATTGTCTACCCGACTGAACAGACAAATCAAATATACATCTCCTTAGCTAATGAGACTGAAGGATTGAGAGACTGAAGGATTGATGAAAGTAAAAGGTTTAGAACGGATAAAGAAATGCAAGTTAGAATGTGTGGATAATTGGTGAGGGGAGATTGAGTCAACTGAACAAATGAATGATGATTTATTGTCACTTGTCCTCTACAATGAGCAACACAGGAAAATTACAGTAAAAGCTTCAACTAGCATCACAATCAGGCACCATTTTGAATAGTTTAAGAATAAAAAAAAAAATAAAAGGGAACAAAAACTGAGCCTGTATTCCACTGGAGTTTAGAAGAACCACAGGGGATTGTATTGAAACATATTAAGTTTCTACAGGGCTGGATAGACTGGATAGACTGGATTAAGGGATGATGACTCCCCTGGCCAAGGGGTCATGGTGTCAGCGTACAGGATAAGCGACTTCAGGCTGAGATGTAGAAATGTTTCTTCACTCAGAGGGTGGTAAACCTGTGAAATTCTCTACCACAGAAGGCTAAATCACTGAATATTTTTAAGGTTTCTAGAGGTTAAATGTGTCAAAGGGTATGGAGAGCGTCCAGGAATATTACACTGAGATAAAACATGAGCTATGTTCAGATTGAGTTGCAGAGCAAACACAATGGACTGAAAGGTCTACTCCGGCTCCTATTTTCTACATTTCTATGAATTTAATGTTAAATCAGGTACAGAAAGAAAAACAAAAGGAAAAGTACGTTTTCCATATGTAAAAAAAAGGCAGAAATGAAGAGTACAAAATATAAAAATTTGGATTTTTAAAATTCCAGCAATTAAATCCTGAATGAATGAATGAAACTCCACCTTTGTGGTAGCTAATCTTCAACGCCACAGAGATTAATTGTAAGTAATTAACATTTATCACATAGTTCAAAGAGTACTTAAGACTGGAATGAACAAGACTTGACTTTTAGTGGTGAGTATAATTTGTATTTAACATGCAAATGCAACAATGGCATGACATCCAATGCATTTCAATAGTGAGGCAGGCAGTGAAATGTTTTCACAGAACTAATTGCAAGGCATAATGCTAAACGCAATGTTCAGATATTTGTGTTCAACCTCATTTCTGCCCTTCCTATAAACTCGCTGCGCCATTTATGCACATGTAAAATGGTGTGCACCATTGGCCTCATTGTTATTTTTATCACCAATTGTGGCTCACATCTCACTGGTGACATTAATAAACCGGAAACAAAAGACACTGCAGACAAATAGTTACACCCCTTTAGAAATAATGAATGAGGAGTTGGTGTGTAATTAACATTCATTAATAATACTGAACTGAAAGTAATTATTGTTTATTTAAAAGTCAAGGACAGAAGATTCTTGATGAGAAGCCAAATTGTCTATTAATCCCTGATAGCTAAAGCTTTTCGATGAACAGCACGTATGCCAGATGATTTGTAAGTTAGTAATTATCTAACACAGGAATGAAATGTGAAAACCCTAGGCTTTTACAATTATTAGCTCATTTTTAAATGTGGGAACAGAAATCAAGCGTGAGAGAACCCAAGTTATGCTCTCTGTATATTTCAAAGACTGGCTCAAATTTGCCAGGAACACAGAGTGTAAAGGATTCCTGTTCTGATGATGGGTCACTGGGCCTGAAACATTAACTCTGACTTCTCTGCACAGATGCTACCTGACTTGCTGAGCTTTTCCAGCAATTTCTGTTTTTGTACTATAAAAGGGGAACGCTGCCATTTCCAAAGGATGCAGGAACATCTCTTTGAACCAACCAGTTCCTTGATTTCTTCCAAAGCCAGCGTTCTTACAATGAATGATGACGAATGTGTCTATGAATGTTACTAGTTGCCATATTTCTGAGTGAAGAAAAGCTTAGTATTCTTTTCAGGTCAACAGCATGATGTTTGCACTTCTGATGTGTGGTCTTCCTGACATTGAGGAAGGCGATTTTAATCATGTTTTAGGTTATTCATTTCCTTCTTGTGCTGATGTTTCAAAATTCAGACAGGGGATAATATGGACAGAAATGTAAAATGGGTTACAACTCAAATACAAGCACACAGTAGAATCATAGAATTCCCTGCAGTGCAGATAAAGGCCATTCAGCCCATTGAGTCTGCAGCAACCCTCTGAACAGCATGCCACCCAGACCTGCCCAATCCCCAAAACCCAGCATTTCCCATGGCTAATCCATCTGGACACTACAGGGCCATTTAGCATGGCCATATCACCTAACCTGCACATCTTTGGACTGTGGGAGGAAATCGGAGCACCCAGAGAAAATTCGCGCAGACACGGGGAGAACGTACAAACTCCACACAGACAATTGCCCAAGGATCCCTGGCATTGTGAGGCAGCAGTGCTAACCACTGATCACGCGCCCCACTACAAGATGGTTGCAAGTATTTAAAGTAGGAATAGCTAAGCAACATAAAAGGAGCAAGACTGTAATGGCACCACTTCAGTCATAGTTAAAACAGTGAATGGGCCAGATCAGCAATGCGTTAATAACACAGGCTAACAACACATGGAGGAAAATTATAAAACTGATCAACTAATCAATGAACAGTATGAGGTGGGGGCATGCATGGGAGGAGAAACATCAGCTCACACATTGCTGTCCACAGTGAGTGCACTGCTAATTGTCATAAATGCAAAAACAATGTATTATTGAAGGTCCAGGCATTTTGCAGCACACCCTCAGGGGGCCATTACTGTAATGAACAAGCCACAGATTTAATTTTACAAGTTGCTCAAACCCATTTGGTTCTTACTAAATGGACCTTAGATTTCTCCGATGTCAGCCTCCTGGGTACATGCTATTGCTCACAGTTGCAAACTATTTGCCAGTCAAACACAACAACCGCCTTATGAATGACTCTAAAAAATGTCGCAGAGGCTGCTGCTCTTCGCTTTCAAATTCATTGCCCCAGTTACTTTGCTGTTGAGGACACACACTGAATCTGTTTAAGCCAGCTGTATTTTTAAAGTAATCCTCATGTAATCTGTGGGAGGAACAGATACTTTTTTTTAATTCATTCACAGGATGCGGGTGTTGCTGGCTAGGCCAGCAATCATTGTGTGTTCCTAATTGCCCAGAGGGCAGTGGAGAGTCAATAATATTGCTGTGGGTCTGGAGTCACATGTAGGCCAGACCAGGTAAGGATGGCAGTTTCTTTCCCTAAGGGTCATTAGTGATGGGTTTTTCAGATAATTGACAGTGATTTCACAGTCATCATTAGACTTTTAATTCCAGACTTTTATTGAATTTATATTCCATCATCTGCCATGATGCGATTCAGACCCAGGCCCCCTGGAACATATACGGAGTCTCTGGATTAACAGTCTAGTGGTATTACAACTAGGCCATCACCTCCTCTCCATGGAGACTTCCCTCAAGTTAGAGATGATATTTGAGGAGTGGTGGTGGGGATATGGGAGGCGCGGTGATGGGGATGTTGATATGGGAGAAGTTATGATGTAGATATGGGAGGGGCAGTGGCAGGGATTATGGGAGGAGCAGTAGGAATATGCAAGTAATGGTAGACACTATGGGAAGAGTGGAGTCTGTCAGATTTTACAGCTGAGTGAGAAATTTAAGCTCCCGCTGCTCTGTGTTAGAAATTTTAGTTTTCACACACATAGCCCTTTATTACTTAAGTCACTGTGGAGTTGTCCACAGAAGTCAGGCCACAATATAAGTAGGGTAGGTACAACAGCATCTCTGCAGCACAACTACAACCTACATGCAGAACCCAAGACAGTAACATCTCAAGCAGGTCCAGTTCATAGCGATGTTGATTTGGAAACATATTTTAAAATAGTTTACATGTAACAATAAATGAGGGACAGATTTTGAGATAAGCACAAGTGCCATTTTGCTCCTTAAATGAGATCATAAGATGATAAGATATAGGAGAAGTAGCCCAATCAGACCATTGAGATAGCTTCTCCACTAAATAAGATCATAATTGATCTTAAAATCCTCAACTCCACTTTCCAGACTTCTCCCAATAACCCCCAATTCCTTTACTGATTAGAAATCTGTCTATAACTGGATAACTAGAAGAGATGGCAGAGCTTAGCACTATTCAAATTAATGGTAATGAACACAGGGACATTAGATATATAATACTTAGCACATTGAATAAGATTTCATTACCATTTTAATCTTGACTTTAATAAAAGACAGTTGAAGTGGTCAAGAGCAACAGATTCTGGTGCAGAAAGCTGACTTGGCAAAGCTTTTTAATTCATTTCAGACCCCAAGGGAGGCTTTATATCCAATCTGTACTCACTAACACTAAGTTAATACATTTTCAAAATTCGAGCTTTAACAGCATTAAGAGAACAGGGAATCGCTCTGAGTAACTTAGTAATCACACCAGATTCCTGTCAGGCCAAGTCCAAGGGGCAGATACCGTCTCTGTTTAAAATGCTGCCCTGTTACTCTAAATTAGGGAAAACTGAATCAAACCAAATTTCATATGCCGCTATAAGAATTTATATATTTCAAGTGTATGGTATTTACACACAACCGAAATGTCTGATTGCTAATTTCCCAGGAATGGTGCACATTTTACAGTAGGGTGAACAACTGTGCTGCCAGTCCTGAAGTTGGAAAGTAAAGGCATAACGTGTGAACTTAAAAGTGTGTGGTGCCGTGGAGAGGTGAAAATACAGGCTAACAGCGAAGGTGCAAATGCAGAGTACCAAGGAGAGGTGAAGGAACAGAGCACTGTCTAACAGCTCACCACATCTCACCGTTTACAGTCACCCTATAACATGCAATGTATTCAATTAATCGCACAATTTACTTTGGAAAGAGCTCTGTTCTTGATAAACTTAAAAATGGAATAAAATGAGATGCCCTCTAAGTTTTGAAAGGTAACATTTCATTTTAGGATTACTCAAAAGTATCCAGGTACAAAATATAATATTCAATTCCTTTGAAACATTTCTTTCTATTTCTGTTAATACTCTATAATAAATTGCAGAGCTGAAATAGTCAGGGGTTCGACACTAGAGGACATGCTAAACCTGAGTGTGTGAAGGAGTTAACAAAAGCAGACACAGTCATTAATCAGCTACATTGGATGGTCATGTCTTTTCCAGCCGTGTCCTTTAATTTGGTTTCCGAGCACGCTGCGAGATTTCAACAGCTCCTCACAGTAGCATTATCAGTAATGAAGCAGAAACATCCAAAACACTGACAGGAGGTGGTGAATCTTCACCTTGGAATAGGCTGCTTTGGAAAGGAGTATGTCAAATGAGACTCTTCTTTATCTGCCAAAGTTAAGGGGGCAGGTTGGCACATTTTGGGGGAAGTACAGTTGATACACCTACCTTTTTTCAGATGTTTCTTCTTAGTCTTTCTGCAGATACCAGATATCCCTGGCACTGGCTTTATTTCACTCTTGTTGACAGGTGGTGGATGAAGTATCGGTTTGGGAGCCCGAGTCAGACATACTGGAAGGCCAGCTGCACACATTAGAATCCCAGTCATACCTGTGTGGATTGTAAATGCAGATCATCTTTAGAATTTAAAACAGCCACATTGTAAATCATAAATATCGCCATCTTCTGAAACCGTTTTAATGACGAAAAGAGTTATATTGCACAGATATTACAATCTAGGATTTCCTCATGAGTTCTGCTGACCTATCACTCTGAAGGTAATTATTTTACCACGTCGATTTTGGTCTGACACTCCACTCGTGCTCATTTCTATTCATTCCTGTCTTCAGATCCTACAATTAAAATCCATTCCTAATGTTGAAGATAAACCCTTAGACTGTCGTATGATTTTTATCTTTTGTGGATAAATGCATTCTGCTTAATCTGTCTTTCAGTCAGACATATTGAAAGAATGTTGATGCAATCGTGTGACAACTGATTCAAGTAGCTAGGGCAGTGGTCCTATCTCCTCCCCACTACAACACCCAATTTGAAGCTAGAAAATTGTTGTTAGCTGTCACGGAGAGGGGGCTGGAGGGATGGGAGGTGAGAGAGCAGGGGCCTGCAAGAAGGGGAGCACGTTATAACTCGGTCAGAGATCCAAAGCAAACAATCCGGCCTCGGAGCTTGCAATTCCAAAAATTTCAGCTGGCAACCAACCCCTGTTTTGGGAAACCCCTATCTAAAGTAGCCAAGTAACCCCATCCCTGAACTAACATGTGGTTGTTGTTTCCTCTCTGACTCAATGTCTTAAAAGGCATTTGCTATGTGATACTCAGTCGTAAAGAAGGAGGAAGCCCATTTGCTCCTCAATCTGTGTCAAGTTATTTGACCTCAGCTAAGGATGTGACAATGGCAGAAATTGTTTCAAGCCAGGCTGGGTAAAAAGAAAATCAGCCAGCATTCCCGCTGTTAGCTAATATCTAGTGACTCTTTCAGAAAATGTGCATTTCCGGATGACAAATGATGTCCCCTGCACTGCACTAAACAGCCTGCAACAATTGCAGGGACTGCAAAAAGTTTGAGCAAAGTGACCACAGAGCTGTGGTCCAAGGAGTCATTGAAGCACAGAGAGTAAAGAGGAAGACTGAGGCTGCCTGAGGAAAGGAGTTAGGAAATGAGCAACGGATGACTAAAGTAAGAGGAGAGATTGTGAAGTATGAGAGAAAACTAGCAAGAATTCTAAAAATAAACAGTGAAACCTTCTACAGGTACATAAAGTGACATAAAAAGCATTGCAAGAGTAGTTGAAACCAACAGACAAAAAAGGAACAAAAGGTTTCAATTTCTAGAGAGGAAAACTAATAGGACTAAAAGTTGACAAGTTCCCTTGACCTGATGACCTGCATCCTAGAGCCTTAAAAGGAAATGCCTACAGAGATACTGTGTGTATTGGATGTCAGCTTCCAAAATTATCTGGATTCTAGAAAGGGCTCAGCAGTTTGGAAAATATAATACCACTATTCAGAAAAGATGAAGACGGAAAGCAGGAAGCCATAGGCGATGGGTCTACCATCTGAAATTGGGGAAATATTAATGTACATTTGTAAAGATTTAAAAAATCATATCACAAACAAGCAAAGTCAACGTGATTTTGTGAAAGGGAAGTAGTGTCTAAAATATTGATTTGAGTTATTTGCTGATTTCACAAGCAGGGTGGATAAAGGGGAATCAGCAGACATAATGCATTTGGATTTTCAAAAACATTCATTAAGGTAGTACATAAAAAGTTAAGATAAGAACTCATGATGTTGGAGGTGATATGCATATTGGGGCTTGGATAGAGGATTGGTTGACTGACAGGAGATATTGAACCAAGAAAAAAGGGTAATTTTCAGGTATCTAGTAGCTAGTGAAGTGTGACACAGATCAGTATTCAGGCCTCATAATGTATGCTCTATACTAATGACTTAGATGGAAAGAAAAACTGTATTGTAGCCAAATTTGCCGATGACTCAGAGAAGTAGAAAAGCAAGTTGTGCAAAGGACATAAACAGCCTGCAATGGGATATAGAAAAGTTAAGCGAGTTGGCGAAAATGGCAAATGGAATTGAATATGGAAAATTGAGAAGTAAGAGAGTAAGAGTGGAAAAGCAGGGTCTTTTTTAAATGGGGAGAGATGGCAGAATGCTGTGATACAAAGGGGTCCAACTGTCTGAGCACATGAATCATAAAACATTAGTATATAGGCATAGTAAGTCATTCGGAAGGCAATGGAATGTTGGTCCTTATTGCAAGCAAGACAGTATAAAATTAAGAAGTCTTGCTATAACAATACAGGGCATTGATGCAGTTGCACTTAGGAGCACTGTCAGTGGTCCTCACTTAAGGACAGATAGACTTACATTAGAAACACTGCAGGCAAAATTCACCAGGGTGAAACCTAAAAAGGTTGTTTAATGAGGAGTGGTTGAGTCAATTGGGCCTATTTGAGTTTAGAAGAAATGGGTGATGATCTTACTGAAACATTCTTAGGGGGTGTGATGGGGCACACACAGAGAGGGTGTTCCCTCTCATCGAGGAATCTAGATTTAGGGGACTCAATCTACAACGGAGAAAAGGAGGAATTTCTTCTCTGAGTGTTGTTAATCTTTGGAGTTCATTTTCACAGAAAGCAACGAAGGGTAAGTCATTCAATTTACTTAAGGCAGAGTTCATAACATTTTTGTTCAATAAGGGGATCAAGGATTATGGGCACAAACAAGAAAGGGGAGTTAAGGTCACAATCAATTAGCTCAACCGTTTTGAGTAGTTGGAAAGTATCGATGGGCCGAACGTTCTACTCTTGCTTTGATTTCTTATGATCTTATTACTTTATGATCTCACTGAAATGCAAACGTCTGAACAGAATTTCTAGGCCTGTAAATCTTTAGCTTTTGTTTCCTGGTTATATATGTCAAAATGACTACAAAAGATTAAGGGAACAGAGTGATAGAAAGTACTAAACTGTAGTCCAATGGCTCTACACTCGGCTGAAATTTCTGTGATTGTGTGTAATGAAGTCTATTAGAATACGATAGGTTAGCTCCAAACACTTAACAGACTGCCTGCAGTCCCTTACTATGACCAAGCATTCTGTAGTTAGGTTATCTTAACTGAAGGCAGGAATGACATCTTAACGTTCTCAGCTTTAATCAACACAAGGTGAATGTGATGTAAAAAGCTACACACCGAAAAAATTTCTATTCTGATTCATTGAAAAGGAATTTGAAGTGTTGATGCTCTCGTTTTACACCAATCCAGAGATTAGAAAGTGATGCAAATGATGATAGTTACAAGATTGGGATCTACAATCAAATCCCTCCACTAACAATAGGAGATTCAGTACAGTAAAGGACTGAACAGTGTGTGCATAAAATTCAGATTGCTACCTTTATCCCCTCCTTGGATATTAAGGTCAGACATTACAATGAATTAGTTTCACAGTTTTTTAACATTCTCCTGCTCAGCATGAAGGCTGTGTTTTGCTTCATACCTGCAAGTGCTGGGTGGACAGGACCAGATCCATTTAGGTTTTTCACTGGGAGAGCAGGAACGCTGGAAGAAATCAAAAGGAAAGTATTAGGTTTTTTTAATAGAGATCACAATTCCACAGACTATACCAAGATATTTCTGTACATTCTGCATCCCAAAGATAATACAATTGCTACTGTGCATTGGACACTTGCTACTTCAAAATTACCCGGTGTTTCAAAGTCTAAGTGTTTGAAGCTCTATCATTCTGATTGGTTTAATGCTGTATATTAAAGTTTATTGGCAGCAGTCAGGCTTGATTAAGTGCCCATCAAAAGACATTTCTAGCAAATAAATATGAACTAGTTGCTCCCATTAATATGTCTCAGCTGATAGAAAGTTATGTGCTGTTGTTTGAGTCTGATGAGCAGACTTATAAAGTTCAGAGGGCTATAACGAGAAGAGGTTGAAACTGTGGCTTACTTGTAATAATGAGCTAAATTGTGAACAAGGAGAACAGGTCAATGCAAAGTCACACCTGCGGTCTTCAGATTTCCTGCTTTCCTTTAGGTCACCATGACAACATAACCCATCACATATACACTACTTGCCAGAGCGCTTAAGGAACATTAATTCCTACTGAGAAAGCCAACAGTTATTAAAGGTATTGACAGAAATCAAAAGGTTGCAGTTTGTAAAAGAAACTTGCAGTTTAGGTAGTGCACCACTTCAAATCAGTGTCATTGAAATATGACCATAAATGACTGTTATTAGAAAACACATCAACTTTCTAGAGAAATGCTTTCAGAGATTGGTATATCTAAATGATATGTGGGGACTGATCTCGAAGTGCAGGATTTTCCTGTGAAGTTTGAACCCAGCAATCCCCAGCTGGAATAAATGGAAAATTCCAGTTGTCTTCTAATCGGGCTTAAGTTTTCATAAAAAGGCTTAACTGGTTACTGTCAACCCCTGGAGGGGGTGTCAGGGGTTGAAGATGGGGAATCTGACATACACGCCAGCAGCACAAAATTCTGGTCCTTCCTCCCTCAATTCCTGCCCTCAAGAGGGGCTAAAAATCCAGCACTGTCTTTCCATTCACATTTTGCAGAAATATTCACTGTTAAGATTACAGGAACAACTCAAATATGAAAAACACTGAAAGATCCCTATGAATAAAGAGAACAGCCAAATCGCAAGCCCATTACACAACTAAAAGAGCAACTATACAACAAAGATCTCTTGGCTTTTCTAACATGAATCAGAACAGATTTTTTGGGCTGCTTACTGGACACACACTAAGATTTACAGTGAAGCTGTTAATCCCTTGTAGTTTTAAATGGGTACTTTCAGCTATTGAGCATAAATGCAAATGTCCCAAAACCTTTGGAACAATAGTTCAGCTTGCATTGTCCAACATGGACTTTCCTCAAATGGTGTCCCTTAGCAACTAGGGACATGGCTTCTTATATCAAGCCTCCTCTCTCACTGCGCTGTTGTTCATTGCCTGGTAATAATTTGTATGCAACTGATCACAAGTTATTGTGTTTTGTCATTTGGTGATGCATCTTGGAAGTAAATTTTTAAAAACTCGAAAAATAAAACACAATGAAGCATTCTTTAAAGTCCAGTTGACCTCAAATGTTAGTCTTAGTCTCCGAATGTTAATACAATAAATACCTCAGTCAGTAGAGAGATCTGAAAAAAAAAAACTTTCAAAGACAGCCTCAAGTAAGTTCCAAGACTCCTCATCACAGTGAGTAAACATTTAATAAATGATGCATTTATAGGCTCTGGAATTGTTCCCGCCAGCTTGGATAACAATCTTTTATGAGAGAGTCTTTCTGCAGTCCATTTCAGGAGCATCAGTTGAACCACATGGTGACGACATTTTCTTGAACACAGATTGCTTAGCGGAGATTGCCTTCATTGCAGCCTGGTTTACAAAATGGCCTCACAGATATTAGGCCTTCTGTTTGCTAACAGCCTAACACTGTGTTAGGTGTTGCTCCAGCTGTATCTCTTTCTGTACACAATAGGACAGAAGGTGGTATACTTCCAATCAATAATGATGGATGCTTAGAGCAAGCCTTTGCACCTGAAAAACAGGCAGGGCACCACTGAATTTCTAGATTATAGTCAATGAGGCCTCACTTAAAGAGCATCAGGTCTGTACAAAATCACCGTTAACCTGAACTTTGCATTACAAAACAGTTTTTACTGTCATTTACAAATGTAGCAAAACAGAAAGAGGCAGTCATCATGAAAATCTCATTTGGGAAATCTCAAGTTTCATGAGGGAAATACACATCAAGAGCCATTAATCACAGCTGCCATATCCATGCCACAGATGTGGGCATCAGTGATTAGGCTAGCATTTATTGCCCGACCCTAACTGCCTTGGAGAAGGTAGTTGTGAGCGATCTTCTTGCACTGCTGCAGTCCTCAGATGTTAGAACACACTCAGTGATGTTAGGGAGGCAGTTCCAGGATTTTGACCCAGCAACAGTCAAAGAACAGTGATATAATTCCAAGTCAGGATGGTGTGTCATAGCATAGAACTTGCAGGTGATGGTGTTGTCCATGCACCTGCTGTCCTTGTCCTGTGTGAGAGAGGCCATGGTTCTGGACTGAGCTGTTAGAGGGCCTTCATCAGTTATTGTAGTGCATTTTGTCGATAGTACACACTGCTGCTACTGCTTGTTGGTGATGAAAGAACAGAACATTGAATGTGATGTATAGGGTACCAATCAAGCTGTCCGCTTTGTCCTGGTCAAGCTTCTTGAATATTTTTGGAGCTGCACTCATCCAGGCAAACGGAGATTATCTCATCACATTCCTGACTTGCCTCAGGGGTGAGTTATTCACTTCAGAATTCCCAGCCTCTGACTTGATCTCGTAGCCACAGCATTTATATAGCTGGTCCAGTTCAGTTTCCGGTCAATGGTAACTTCCACAGATGTTGATGGTGAGGGGTGACTAAGTGATGGTAATGCCACAGAGGGGTGATGGTTAGATTCTCTCATGTTGCTGATGGCCATTGCCTGGTATTTGTGTGACATGAATGTGACTAAATTTCCAAGTAGATTCCATTTCACGTGTTTATTTTTTTGCACACAGTGGTACTTTGAGCGGTCATAAAGTTGTCAATTCATTTGTGTTCATCAAGGCGTATGTGGCGCTTTCATTGAAAATGTTTATTGAAAAGCTGCAGAATGTTCCAGATGTTCCAAATTTTTGTTTTAATGGGGAGTGTTGATCTGCTGTGTTTCCTGTTGTTTTTGTGTGGATTACATTGCTGAATGAAGTACTAAGTGGATGAGCTAGAGCACTTTACAAAATTATTATTTTTATCTACAGGGTAAGGAAATCCTGATCCACACATAATCCTGATTCATTCAGAACATCTCTTAGCAAAGGATTTACTAATGCTTAATCCACCAGCCTGACAGACTCAGGCAATATAGCCATTTTTTTTTAAAGGATGGGAAAAACACTGCTCAGCAATCAAGATCCATTGCTCCCTTATTCGATTCCACTTTGGTGGTTTTCACTGTAACCAAGCCACAGCAAGTTGTTCACATTTGTTCACAACAAAGATCAATAATCTTTCCTGGCCATGAGCCATCTCAAAGTCTATTTAATCAAGTTCTAAAGCTGCTTATTAAATGCCAACATTTCTGATGCAGCTTGAAGCAATGCTGCTATTAACTATTAGACCCTCTCCAAATGCCTGCTGCACATTTTAGACTGTCCCAACAGTGACCACCACAGAGGGCACTTACCCAGTAAGCAAAGAAATCTTCATTTCCCCTAACGCACGAATCAGGAACTCTGTGGTAACTTCCCCTTTAACACTGAGTGTCAAATGTGGATGCAGAGATGAACTAAGTCTCCCAATTTGTTTTTTTATAAACTAGCTTAATCCTATTCAACCCTGCAACATCAATGACATCACTTGTGCGTAATGAGTCACCTGCTAGGATTAACAGGGAATCAGCAACCTGTCCTTGCAGACACGTAGACACATATTGAGCTGGGAGTCAGGCAAATTCTCAGGAGCACCAGCCATTGGTGAGGGCTTTCCACTACTTCATGACATTCCCATCAATCTAATAAGAACCCAGCTTCTCTGTTGAAGGAGATCTAACAAATGCTAATTTGATTGGATAACATGGTAGTTGGGTAATATAGTGTCTTTTTTGACAGAAAATATATTTTAAGAAATATGAAACTGCAAGAATTGCAGCACCTCCCCATTCAGCTGCTCCCTTACCATTAACCAGGCTCCTATACACGCCTGTAAGAGGCAGTGGGCCATGTGTACACCCCACAGTTTAGTATACTGGACTTCCTGCCCATTGTAAGGTCTTAAACATAGCTTAGCTGAATAATATATCAAGTACCGCCATTCTACCCGGATGCTTCATACAGTCCTCCACTTTAATTTTACTATTTTCTTAGTCCTTAACTATTTTCTGTTCTTAGCCTCGTACAGTGTTCCAAAAAGAATTGATAGATGAGACTGCTGGTTTGTCATGTCATGTTTCAAGTTTCATGCTGGTTAGAATTGTGGCAGCTGTGATGGTGTGGAGAAAATGAAAGGTCATGATGCTTAGAAGGGTAAAAACACTTCAAACCCGTTATTTAATATGGAAATTCCTCTTTAAGGGTTTGGGTTAAACCACCTAACCTTTGATTTCCAAATCTACGTCTTGACCATTTGAAATACATCAGCACACTTCTAAGTGGGAAAGAGACAATGAAGATGACTTCCACTGCCTTGTATTCACATATTTTGTAATCCACCTGTTCAGACATGGTATTAAGCACCTCTGGAGCAGGACTTGGGCTTCCTGGCTCAGAGGTAGGGACACTACCAATGCCTGCCTTGGATTTAGAAGAAACTCCAGTCCATTGACTGCAGGTGCAGCCTTCATTTGGGGTAAAGGCGTCTGAATTGTATATGCAAATTTAGAAAACATATGTTTATTTATGGAGTCAAGAGTTTAGAAATAAGATGAGTTTATTATGTATATTTATAGACATTCACACCACTTGTGAACACTGTTCCATTTAATACT